AACCTTATACCAGTGCTTCTTCACTGAGCCTTCCGTCCTGCTCGGAAAAGTCTAAGTCATGGTTAGTGGACCACATCGGCCTACGTTCGGCGGATTATACGCACCTTGGCAATCTCAGCCCAGCTGTTGCCGGCGTCGCGCATCTGCTTGAGTCGTAATTCTTCCCCAGGAGTCCAGGGGGTGTTTGTTCTGCTCTTCTTCGCCGGGGGAGGCGCGACAGCGGCCGCGTTTGCATCTTCGACGCCCGGAGCCTGGGGAGCCTGCTGTGGTTGCTGGGTTGGCGTGCCCTGAGGCGCGGGAACGCCAGGTACTGCAGCCTGGGCTTGAGCAGGAGTTCCGGCAGCAGGAGGAGGACCTGTCGTCACAGGAGGAGCCGCTGCAGCAGCTGGATTGGGTCGCTTGCGCGAACGCGGCGGTTGCGCCGGCGTCTGGGTTGGGGTCGGCTGCTGCGACGGGGGCGCGTTAGGCGATTGTTGCGGCACATTCATCGGCGGCTGGACTGGAGTCGGATGGTGCTGCTGCGGCGGCATGTTGGGAGGCTGACCAGCGTAGAAATGCTGCTGCGGCTGGTCATTGCGACGGGCCATGTCGGCCGGGTACGTATGTTGACTTGATGAATGTTAGCAAGGAACAGCAAGTGAGCTTTTGGGGCTCTCTGTGACATGATGACCGCGACCTCCCCAAGATGGGGAGGGAGAAAGATATGGACCGTCTTTTGAGTGCAAGTATGATGCTGTCACAACAGGTACAGGCTGCCAGGCGCGCCCAAGGAAAACAAGCAGGCGGACGACGGTGATACACGATGCCCATTCTGCTTGTTTCGAAGTACCTTGATGCGACCCGCACCTACCAGGTTGAACAGCATCTGTATGGGGAGGGGATCCAAGGGATACTTGATGTGAGGTAGAGTAGGCATGGTACGTTGTGCAGCGGGATGTTGGTGACCCAAAGCGGGTGGGCGTTGAGGTACCGGGAACAAATGGATCATGTAACTCACTGCACGTCATTGGGTTGGTGTGGGTTATTGGGGTAGACGTATTCTGGCATAGGGCCAACCTGCCATTGCTGCATGGTCTAAAACTCCAGAAGAATATTGGTTAGTATCAAATCCACGTTCAAATTCTGATAGAAAAGAGACACGAACGGGCCACACGGATGGATCAGTCGATGGACGTCGACTGGATGAGTAAAAATGCCTTGCAGAAGGGGGAGAAGGGAAGCGGAAGGAAAATTCGAAAGCAAGTAGCGATGACGAACGCCTGTAAGGTAGGCCGAGCACTGGGAGAGAGGGCAGAGGGCAGGGGCTGTGTAAAAATGAGGTAGGCAGGAGCCCCAGTGTGGCGCCCACAATGAACCGAACGAATCCCAGTCACCGGGGAGGGAGTGATGGACCGCCAGCAGCTAAGCAGCCAAACTGGCCCCGGAGCAGGGGGGAAAGACAGGAAGAGACATGGGGGTGGTTGGCGTGAACGCGACATAGCCACAGCCAATTACACCTGTCAACATTCAATGACGGAATGATAGGACGACTCCCATCATCGCCCAGAGCGGCGCATTGATATCTTGGGAGATGGAACAAAAGCAGTGCGACACAGAATGAATTCGTCGCAGACATTCATGCGACCAAAAAGAAAATGACATGAGAGGAAAAGAGCCGACGGGGGGTGGGAAAAAATTTGTCGATGATAGGAAGGCTCGGGGTGGTAGAGTGGGAAGGTTACTCACGACGGCTTGTATGGGGCGCTCAAGGCGCGTGTGCGTTCAAATCGCGAAAACTCCTCTGTATCCGGGGGTCGCGTGTCTCTGCAGTCGACACGTTGTAGTAGCACAATCGAGTCCTCGTAGACGGGGACAAGACACGTTGGATAGGTACAAGCAAAAATCAGGTAACCCTGTGTGGTGAGTGATGGCGGATACGTGTACCTATACGCGGCAGCCAGATGGCATATGTGATGGAGGATGATTGGTTTATGTGTAAACCAAAAGCAGACGGCTGCGCAGGTGGTATGTAGGCAAGGAGGCGAAAGGTTGCAGTGACTTTGGGTCGCTCACAGGGCTAAACCTAGTGGTACGGGAAGTAAGGTTTAGCCAGCCAGCCAGCAAGGGAATTCAAAATTGAGCGCGATGAGTGACGCGGGAGGAGCGGGAATTGGGTACAGGAATTTCCTCGCTATGTCGCGGTGATGTAGCTCCTCTTTTTTCAAATGGAAGTGATGAAAGGAGAAGGGAGTGGGGAAAAAAAGAGGCCTGGCAGACTCGCTTACAATGCTGTGTGAAGGCGGTGGTTGGGCAGAACAAACGGTGGCAACGGTGACTTGATAAAATCAAGGAAAATTGAAAAGCGCCGCTTCCGAGGCTGCCTGGATTGGACCGGGCTGGGCGTGGGCTGTTCCGGGTGATGTGCAAGAAAATCAGAGGTGTGCTGCAGAGGCCAGACACGATGCCAGAGGGGCCGGAGCCGTTGACGATGTCGCAGTGCGACAATGCAGGATGAGATCGATGTTGAAGTTGACAAGGCGAGTGCGGTGGAGCACTCTGGGGTGCCAGCTGGGGCAGCAAGTAGGTAGGAGGTAGAAGGCGATGGCAAGGTGAGGGCGATACTTGGGATCGTGTACCTCAAGTCCAAGTAACTTTCTCTGCAAAGGGCGGTGCGGGATGGGTCGATGTTTGGGAGAGGATGGGTAGCAGGGCTGGCCTGTTTTTCTCTCTGCTGCCTGAAAGCAGGAGGGAGCCAGGGTGAGTGGGGATTAGGGGCCGCACGGAGGCCGTCGAGGTACTGGACGCGTGCATATGTCATCTTGACACTGTGCGCTTGGCTAGTCTTCTGGCCGCGTCGCACAGTTTCAACTCGGCGTCATGGGCTGACCGCTACTTATGCACGGCCCATGCTCTCCGTGCTAGGGGCACTGTACTCTGGCGGTCCCTGATTGGTGCAGCAATCTGAGGCCAACAGTTGCTACGGAACCCTATGATAAGCAGTCAGGAGCTGGTATGACATGCCGTCGAAGGTAAACACCACAATAGGCAGTAGAATTTGGTCGTGGGATTTGCGAAGCTGGTATTTGCCATGGGCATTTTGCGAGCTCGCATCGGCCGTCAGCTGGCGACAGTGTGCGCCGCCTGTCAGATATCACGCGTCTGCACTTCGGCTCGTATCGGCAAGCTAGAGACAGCTAAAAATACCTGGCCACGGAGTACCTCCTCCCTACACCTCCTTGGTGTTTAATTGGCGATGATCTAGCTCGGGGTTTCAAGCCAGCCGTCCTGCCTGCATGTGCAGTATGTAGCATGCGCCAGCTTTCTCCCATCCCCCACGGCTACCACCTTGGCCTGCCTAGTCAAATGCACGCTCTCAGATTCGGGACTCGAGGTATCTGGTACATTTGGCGCCGTTTCCATCCTTCTCTGGGCCAGGGCACTAGGGCTCGCAGATCTTCCCGGTCGATCTAGCTGAAGGGTCAGGCAGGAGTACTTTCGCGTCTGCCGGCCAGGTACATCGACGAGCTGCACGCGCCGACGACACTACTGCGATATTGCCCTCCCTTGCTAATGATGCTCCACCTCCACTCGACTACATGACGGGTCAGAGCTGGGTACATCGATCCAAAGTCTTCTCGTCTCGGCCGAGTACTTTTCGTGGCCTGAACTACAAGTTCTGTACTTCCCTAGCTGCGGTAGCCCCATCGTCCTTCTAGAAGCCAGATCTGGGGTACTGGGCTAGCTACATGACCCATGAGACTCGTCTGAAAAGTCGGTTCTGATACATGACCATTTAGTAGCTTGTCAACTTCGTGTGTGACGTTGGCGAAGACTGCCAAGAAGCGTAGCACGTCTGACATCAACACTGTGCTCTCTAGCTCAGTGACCCCTTTTCCCGACTTTCTGACACGCACCAACGACCTATGATTGAAGCAACACGTAAAAAAATCACCACGACACCTCTTGATGCCCCAAGAATAACCGACAGCGCATTTTAAGATTTCGCCGCCGACATGCACGTGCCCGTATAGCAGTGTAAGTAATTGTTTGGCTGAAAGTTACTAAGTCTTCACAGTTTGTCCTAGCGCCGTTGGTGATGCTATAGGGTAGGGTAATTCCCAGGGCTGGGAACGCAGGCTGTCAACCTGTCAACGACTCTTTGTCTATCGCTTCGAGCTGGATATAGTGTTGAAAAGACTATGCCATAGCTTTGGGAGGAGACGCGATCCTGTGTGCCTAGCTTGTGGCGTCAGTTTCCCTCATGAAGCGCTCTGACCAGAACAACCGCGAATCAGACAGGCACACAGTCAATCACATGATAACCTAGGTCAATGCTGAGAGGACCTTTGGTATACGCGCTCTTGGTCCGCGAAAACCCACCTGGGTTCCAATGATACTGAATTTCCGTTGTGATGCATGATGGATTCAATTTTGATATCTGGCACCGACCCCTCAACCTAGCTTGGGCATCATGTCGATTCAGTTGATACCAGGAAGCGTTCCCGGCACGGCACTGGGGCGCCGCCTCCTGAGCACGTTTGGCAAAGGAGTCTATGAGAACCAGACCTTCGGCCTCCCTGATGGCCGCGTACTCGGATTCGCCGAGTACGGTAGCCGTGAGGACCAGCCCCTGCTCTTCTTCCACGGCTACCCGTCCTCACGCCTCGAGGCCTCGGGCGTGGACGAGCTCGCTCGACGGCGTGGCATACGTGATATCTTACTGGACAGACCAGGCTACGGTCTGTCCACCACGCAGCCCAGTCGGACCATCATGGACTGGCCCGCTGACACCCGGGCTTTCGCAGAGGGCATGAAACGGGACAACTTTTTCCATCATGGGCGGCTCAGGTGGCGGGCCCTACGCGTTGGCATGCGCACATGCACTGCCGCGGGAGATGCTGGCTGGCGTAGGCCCTTTTGCCAGCGCACCGCCGTGGGCTGCTGGTGCGCATCAAATGTCGCGGGTGTAGAGGGTGATGTGCTGGATGGCCAATAACACGCCCGGGGTATTGAGTGCCGTCATGCGTGTTCTCGTGGCCACTGCTAATAAAATCGCGGAATCCAAGCCCGGCCAGAGGAAACTCGATGAGCTAATTGAGAAGTTGAACAAGCAAGCTGGGCCGCACAAGCTAACAGACTTGGGAAAGCGAAAAGGCCGAGGCCAAGGATAAAGAAGACCAGCGCGAATTTACCATGAATCTACTCGTGGGCGAACCGATGAGGCAGGGCGTGAATGCTGCGGTTCATGAGGCTAAGCTGCAGTCTGCTCATGGCCGGAGATTCAAGTTTGAAGATGTCGGCTATAACCAGGTCTGGATATGGCACGGGGCCAATGATACAAATGCTCCTATTGTCATGATCGAATACTTGGCCAAGAGGCTGCCCCATTGCACACTTCGAGCATTTCCCGATGATACCCATTTCACCATGTTCAAACATCTTGGGGTCGTTTTGGACGACTTGTTTCCCAACGAAAGCCGAAAATCATAATATTGCTATGCTGTGAAGGTTGCTCCTTAGCCTTCCTCTATCCCACCACATATTTCCCCTGTACAAAATAACTTTTCTGAGATTTCGTATTAGACGCGGTCGGTAGCATTAATATTTCCATACCGATATAGAGCCTTGACTTTTTGTCGACTTGAGCAAAATAGAACACACTCTTCACACCTCTCTTTATCAAATCGATGGCCCCTTGCTTTTTACTCGGATGAATATGAACAAGCAGTAACTGACATAAAACATAGCACGTCAAAGCTCTTTATACCCAAGTCAGGGACCTCATTTTCGTATTACTAATACTAACCACAATAACAAAAATATCATTAATTATTCTACAATATTTAGCTCGATATTGTGTCTATTACTTGGTTCAATTGATTGTTTTGTTATGATATTGAGATTCAACGCTGGAGGTCCTGGATGTGCCATGTTTTCTGTCCATTTGCCAAACCACTTAAACAGCGTCATCGTCGGACGATCATAGTCCGGGTATCCAATCAGAAGCAGCTGAATTGTAAAGGGCAATGGTGAGAGACGGCCAAATGCTCCACTTGAAGGCCGCTACAGAAATGATGAGGGGCCGTGGAGAGTGAGGGGTATGAAGTATAAGAATGAAAAGCTACAGACGAGTTAGTACGGCTGTATTTGGATTTTACTTTCTGGCCTGGGACCATCAATTGATCCAGTCTGATTGAAAATAGGAGTTCGCCATCTCCATCTGCCTTGCCGCGATCCCTCATGTAATCCTTCCGCTCAATCCACACGCCCCAACTTCGAGACACGCTCAGAGCACGGTAGTATTCTCATCAAGGTGGGTTGGATCCAAGCAAGCAAACACCGTCCTTGGCCCGGGCGATCCACTTTCTTCTGCGTGGGGAAATCGTCAACCCTACTGAACACATGCCCAAGCCGAAGAGTTCTGGGGAGCATGATCCGACTACGGAGCCCCCCAGGTGAAACTTGCCTGCATGAAGCTACGGATAACCAATGCCAGCGGCCCAATCCATCGTCGGATTAGGTAGATTCCCACTTGGAATCATGGATTCAGTTACTCGTCACAACCGGCAAACGCCTCCACTCGCGAATCGGAGTGTCGCCGATGGCTCGCCGTATTTTTTCTTCGCTTCTCTCACACTCCCCCGTCCTGTCCATTGCTAGTTCTCATTGTCGGATTTGACTTTCACGTGGGTAATCTTCTTGCTGAGACAAACACCTGTAGTTCTACCCTCCACAAGCCAGTGCCGACTCCGTTGATCCACGATGGCTTCAAGCGGGAACAACCTACCTCCCACGGAGCCCGACCCCAAGTCGAGCAGTGATTACATCCAGTTCAAATGCATGCCCCCCGGAGGTGCCTTGAACAGGTGGTCGACGACATTGACCCGCGGCCATGATTACCCCGGTGCTCAGGTTGGTCATCTACTACCGTACGCTATGCTTTGGGACATCTGATGGCTGATACACGATCAAACAGGCCATGCTCTACGCATGCGGCGTGCCAGACCCAACTGTGATGAAGAATGCGCCCCAGGTCGGTGTTGCGACCGTTTGGTGGGAAGGCAATCCATGCAAGTGAGTTGTTCATAATGCCCATTCCATAGACAGAGTCTAACAAGGAGTTTCCAGCACGCATTGTAAGTGGTGCAGGAAGTGGGCATGTTAGTGGTGAAGCCAAGCAGTTGCTCACAACACGAGTACAGTGATGGAATTCGGCCAGATCGTCAAGGCCGCCGTCGAGAAGCAGGGCATGCTTGGCTGGCAGTTCAATACTGTCGGCGTCTCAGATGCCATCACCATGGGCGGCGAGGGTACTGTCTCAAACCCACCAAGAACCCAAGCATCACTTACAAAATACTGACAACCATCACAAGGAATGCGCTTCTCCCTACAAACGAGAGAGATCATAGCAGACTCCATCGAGTCCGTGACGTGCGGCCAGCACCACGACGCCAACATCTCCATCCCCGGCTGCGACAAGAACATGCCGGGAGTCGTCATGGCCGCCGCCCGCCACAACCGCCCCTTCCTGATGATCTACGGCGGCACCATCCGCAAGGGCCACTCCGCCCTCCTCGAGAAGGAGATCAACATCAGCTCCTGCTACGAGGCCTCGGGAGCCTACACCTACGGCAAGCTCCACGCAAAGACCAACCCGGGCGAGCCCGGCCGCACCAGCAGCGACGTCATGGACGACATCGAGCGCCACGCCTGCCCCGGCCCGGGGGCCTGCGGCGGCATGTACACGGCTAACACCATGGCCACGGCCATCGAGGTCATGGGCCTCACCCTCCCCGGGTCAAGCTCCTACCCTGCCATGTCCCCCGAGAAGCGCCGCGAGTGCGAGAGGGCCGCCGAGGTCATCAAGGTCGCCATGGAGAGGGACATACGCCCGCGCGACCTCATCACCCGCCGCAGCTTCGAGAACGCCCTGCGCCTGACCATGATCCTCGGCGGGTCCACCAACGGCGTCCTGCACTTCCTCGCCATGGCCAACACCGCCGGCGTCGACTTGACCCTCGATGATGTCGCCCGCGCGAGTGACAGCACCCCCTTCCTGGCCGACCTGGCCCCGAGTGGCAAGTACTACATGGAGGACCTCTACAAGGTCGGCGGCACCCCGTCCGTAATCAAGATGCTCATCCACCGCGGCATCCTCGACGGCGGCATCCCGACCGTGACGGGGAAGACCCTCGCCGAGAATGTCGCCGACTGGCCCTCCCTGGACCCCAACCAGCAGATCATCCGGCCCCTCGAGAACCCCATCAAGTCGTCGGGCCATATCCGCATCCTCCGCGGCAACTTCGCCCCCGGCGGCGCCGTCGCCAAGATCACGGGTAAGGAGGGCACCAGCTTCACCGGCAAGGCGCGCACCTTCAACAAGGAGCACGAGCTGGACATCGCCCTGAGTAAAGGGGACATCAAGGCCGAGGACGGTAACCTCGTGCTGATTGTGCGGTACGAGGGCCCCAAGGGCGGCCCGGGCATGCCGGAGCAGCTGCGGGCGAGCGCCGCCATCATGGGCGCGGGCCTCTCCAACGTGGCACTCGTCACGGATGGGCGGTACAGTGGCGCGTCGCACGGCTTCATCGTCGGACATGTGGTGCCCGAGGCTGCTGTGGGAGGGCCCATTGCGCTCGTCAGGGACGGGGACGAAGTGACCATTGACGCCGTCACAAACAGGATCGACGTGGCCATCAGCGAGGAGGAGTTCGCCAAGAGGCGGGCCGAGTGGAAGAGCCCCGAGCCGCATGTTAGAAGAGGAGCTCTTGGCAAGTATGCTCGTTTGGTCGGAGATGCTAGTCACGGTGCCATCACGGACGGATGGTGATCATCTATCCCCGCTTGTTATCGAGTGGACAGGAAGAGACAAATGAAAAGAGAAATATCAGTGGCTGTTCTATTGTGTGAAGCCTGGAAATGACAAAAAGGACGAACAAAAGGGTATAACCCGTCTCTGCAAACCAAGAAAGCCCTCTCCCCATGACAAACTAAACCTAACTCATGCTTCTTGCTACTGCTTGAATGTAAAAACTGACAGAAAAGAGATGATTATATGCAATACATTCCACGCGAATACGGCCCCTTTAAGACCACCTTCGACTGGTTGACACGCAGGATTGTAGATTATAAATGCCAAAATTACCATCCCCGCTAAGAACCACAACGTGATCTTGTGCAATCCCAGAAACGTTGCCGATCGACGATGTCCCCATAATGAACAGGGATCAATTAACTTGTCGATCAAACCAACGAGATACAATGGATGCTTGCTAGACTTAATCCCCTAGAGGCATGCCTTCAAGTTCATCAAGTAGCCGGCGCCAGTTGTCAGCGAGCATTTCGGCATACTTGACTCGTTCGCCAGCCCAATCTTGGTTCCAGTAACTGACGTGATACTGGGTGGTCTGAAAAGTAATGAGTTCGTCGCGAATGCATTCCTTGACGAAGATGCTCCGGTTGTGCTGTCGGACGATGGACTCCTTATCCTGCGATATTGTTAGTTTCTAAATAGGGGCAAATGCAGTGAGAGAGTTTTGTTAACCATACCTTAATAATGGACTCTGCCACACGTTCAATCTCGCCAGACTTGACCGTTCCCTCGGGCTTGGCCCGCAAGCCGGCCAGTTTGTTTTCATTCGTCTGGATCCTTCGCTCCAGGTAAGGAATGTTGTCCTTGTCCAATCTCTCGCGCCGCTCAAACATCTCCCGGATGCTGACGAGAGAGTCACGCTGTCTCTTCAGATCCTCAAGCACACCCTGGTCCCACGCCCGGCTCTCCTCTTCCATGAGGGTCTGAGAAGTGCGGAGATGGTTGCTCATAGCATTAAGACCATCGTTAAGCAGAGGCACCTCGTTATTGTCCGTAGCGTACGTGTCTTCAGAAGTCTCCATCAGGCTGGTCAGCATCATAGCTACGCGTCCATGATCGGCTGCAACGCCCTCCTGTCGCTTAACTAGCCGATCCATGATGTTGCAGACGTTGATATAGAGTTCTGCAGATCGTCGAACTCCAGATTTCGTTCTGAGGAAGAGCTCCTCTAGGGTCGGTGGCAGAGACTCCTCGAGGCCCGGGGGCAGTACGCGGTCGGAGAACTCGTCCTGTACGGAAATAGTGGCCTGCTTCCGCCAAACAGCCAGCTCCTGAACCTTTGTGTTAGTGTTTAGAAATACTGCTGTCCGAAAAAGTAGAGAGGAAACTCACAGTGGGGACAGTCAAAAACATGACAACGAGCTGCTCCTGGCTCAGAATAGGGTGCCTAACCAACGCATTCAAGAACCTAGCCAGCCCGCGTCTACGCTTCTCGATGAAAGCGCCGTCGTTGGAGAGATGGTTTCCGTTTACTGCGACACGCTTGGGTGGCAGAAGGGGAAGTACCCTGAATGGGTATCTCTTGTGAAGACAATCCAGGAGCCAGACGAAGTCGCTGTAGCGGCGGATGACCTTGTTGCCCTTCCGCTGGCTGGAAACCTCGTAGTTGTGATGTTGA